ACAACTTTAAGTAATGGTAAAAGAAAGACTTTGAAAGCCCAATCTTTCAGCTTAAAGTGCCCAACAAACGTAATAATGTATAATGATGTACAAATGCCTTTGCTGAAATTTAATAACTTCCTCCCACCCCCAGGATATCCCAAATAGTTTAATCCCTTTACGTAATTCTAACCACATAGAGAAACAGGTGGCAAAGTATCATTCCCATGGTACAGATGGCCAGACTGAGGCCACAGGTTAAGAGATTTGTCAAAGCCACAGAGAAAGCCACGATTAGAGAGGGGATTAGATTTAAGCAACCACCTGCCTCTGCCTTTATAATATAAACAGGAAAGTGGTCAGAATAGCATCAACTAAAACAAACCATCACTTTCAGCATCAAATCTTTACTTAGATAATCTTGTACAGTTTTCTTTAATGAAAGGCTATGGTTCTTCCCCATCTTGGACATTCCTGATGAAGAAGTACTGCAGAAACTGCCCTGTTTCTTCCCGCTGGTTCTTCTGAAGCAATGAGAACCTATCAGTGTGTGTGTGTGTGTGTGTGTGTGTGTGTACTGTATAAGTATTTACATGTGGTTGACTGTTTTTATTCATCTAACCCATAAAACCCCATGGGGGTTCAAAAGATCCATGTCCCCAGAAGTTTCCCTCTACAAGGGTGACAAGACATGAACATTAACCAAGAAAGCAGGACAAGGGGTGGAGTGGATGTGTGGACAAAGAACCTGCAGGAGTCTAAGGTGAGTGCAGATGAGGCATCTTCACGCTGAAAGTAACACAGGTGGAGAATCCCTCATCTGAAATTCCGGAGTCTGAAATGTTCCAAAGTCCTAGACTTTTTGAGCACAGAGAGTGCTCAAGTAGAGAAGTGACACAAGTAGAAAATTCTGTACTTGACTTTGTGTAATGAGTCTCAGTCAGGTGCACTAAAGATACTATATAAAGATAATCTTCAGGCTATATGTACAGGTGTATATGAAACATAAATGAATTTCATTTAGAGTTGGGTTCCATCCCTAAGGTATCTCATTATATATGTGCAAATATTCCAAAGTTCCCAAACTCCAAAATCTGAAACATTTCTGGTGTCAGGCATTTTGGATAAGGGATACTCAGCCTATACTTGAGCTGGGCTTGGGGGATGGGTAAAATGTTGACAGATGAATGCAATAGAGACAACATGAGATTTTCAAAACCACAATGAAAAGGGTTTATTAGCATAACCTACATACATAATCTATTTCTGACACCATACAAATGACTGCAAATACATGACTTAATTTATTCCTGACACAACACAAGTATTCTGAGGTGGTGATAATGACACATCTGCTTCCGAGAGGTCAAGCAAAGTGCTAGGGTCACACAGTTGGTACAGGTGGTGACGTTGGTTTCAAATACAGGTCCATCTGACTGCCTGAGCTTTTGTGCTTAACTGTGGTTACAGACTGAATTATTGTGTCCCCTCAAGATTCATATGTTGAAATCCAAAATCCCCATATGATAGGATTAGAGGTACCTTTGGGAGGTGATTAGGTCATGAGAGTGGAGCCCTTATGGATGGGATTAGTGCCCTTATAAAAGACACCATAGAGAGCTAGTTAGCCTAAGTTAGTTAGCTCTCCAGGAAGCTAACTAGATAGACACAGTGAGAAGACAGTGACTATAAACCAGGAAGTAGGCCCTCGCCACATACCAAATCTGCTGGTAACTTGATCTTGAACTTCCCAGCCTAGGGCATTGTAAGAAATAAATTTCTATTGTTTATAATGTCTGTGGTATTCTGTTGTAGCAGCCCACAGAGACTGAGACAACAATCATGCTATTCTGCCTCCCTCCAAGGCCCTAGTTTTTCTGCACTCTTTAGAGAGAAAGGTTTCCTTTGAAAATGTAATTTCTAAATATAACTTACATTTGCAGCCAAAAATAGGGCTATCATTCTCTCTCTCTCTTTTTTTTTTTTTTTGGTGAGGTGACCTTGCTTCACTAAAATATCACCTCCACCTAAGCATTGAGATGGACTATGCAGTTAGTGCTTAGTGACCATAGTTTTTCTGGTTGAAGCACTCCATGAGAAATTTTAGGAAAGGCAGAAGTCTTACAACCTGGTCCCAACCAGAGATGATTATATGATGTGACCCTGAGCAAGAGAGCACCAAACAGAGTAGTAGCCCCACTCTTGTAGCCTGGGAACCTAATAAAAGACACACTTTTTTCATCCTTGAGGTCCTTTTTAAGTTTGATTTCTCTGGATTCTCTGATTTGCCATTTCTGGTTGTGGTAACTTTGCACAATAAAAAGTGGCAGAGGATGTACTCTCTTTTATATACACATGCCACTTTTATTCTACACTGACTCCCTTCTATAGACTCTCCCTTTTAAACTTTGGTCTTATTTTCTTAAAACACCATCACTGAGCTCCAGCTGGATATTGTTTCAAGTACGAGCTTTCCTACTGGCTCAGAGAACAGTGAAAGGGAATATAGTACCTGGAGCAAGTGCTTCTTAAATCACTAGAGGTTGAATTCCAACCTTTTAAAAATACTTAGCCAAAAAAAAAAGAAAAGTCTTATGTTAGCCTATCTCAACTCTGTGATTCTTACCACAAGCATGCAACTGAAGAATGTCATCACCACCACTCCAAGCCCTTCACCAAACAACTAAGGAGTGGCATGCAGTGAGAATAGATACCTGAGCAGACTTTCCAGAAAGGAGAACCAAGGATGCTGGGAACCATCTTGAATTCTGGTGAAAACAAAGAATCTCTAGTATTCCAAAATTCTGAAACTAGGCTTCTTTCTCTTTTCCTCATGCATATTTTATCACTATGAATATGAATAGGAGATCAAAGTCCAGTGTGCTATGGCCTAAGGAAGTCCACTGTGGTTCAATCCAGCATGCACCATTTTAATAAAAGTGCTTAGTTGCCTAGCATGAAGAAGCTCCTGGTCATGTACCTGTGGGTAAGTGCTAGATAGTTACATAATTTTCAGAAGTACATTTGTAAACCAAAACACATAGTAGGCACTTTAAGTATTTATTAAGTGATAATATATGCATTTTGCTTTACGCTCTTCAAGGAGTTTGTGAAAAGACTGCTTCATTGTAGTTTCTGTATAAGAATATGAGGTTGGGAGGAAAGTTTCATTCCCCAGTGGTGATGTCTCTATTTCATTGGAAAGACATTAAAAAATCAGAAGGTAAATGGAAAGTCAAAGAGGAAATTTACCCAGCTCTCCTGCTTGCTGGTGTACAGTTCTTCCTGGTCTTTATTACCTTGGTATACTCTGAATGTTTCATATGAGCATCTTTTTTAGATTTGGCTTCAATGTTATCTACAGTTAAGTCTCTATTTGGTACAAAGTGATAAATAAGAGCCTATCCACACTCTATACTTAAATGTTTGTTTTCTTCTATACCTTTCTCCTGCCTTAAACTGCATGTTCTCTGGGGACAGGAACTACTGGTCTCCAGTGTCTGTACAGTGACAGTTAGTTAATAAATCCTTGTTGTATGAATAAATGAATGAACCTCCATAGTCCCTTTGTCTGAGTCCTGCAGAAGTTTTTGCTGTCAACATTCATTTAGCATTTGAATATGCTAACCTGATCATAACACATGCCTTAACTTTGTGAGATCAGAAATATTCTCAGTAAAAGGGCTTAACATCTCTGACTCTCCATTACAGTTGAGATGTTCAATGAATGTTAATGAGATAATACCATAATACCACCTTATTTAAACAGTGTTACTTAGATGTGGGTTTTCAAGTTTACATATCTGTGTGTGTATATATATATATATATATGTATATATATATGTTTGTATGTATTATAAGCATAAGCATCTGTGATTGTACTACTTGTACATATATGAAACAATAAAGGATCTTGACAAAGTTGTAGCAATGGTCATAAGATGTTTAAAGATGAAACATGCAAGTTTTCATAATTGTCAATATAGAAATTGCTTCACATGGGAGAGCATTTATTTCCTACAGTGTGCTCTCTCCATGTGTATACTCTAGACACCCTCTCAATTGCCATATTTCCTGAGAGTACACACAGGGTAATCATAAAAGGATTCAGATTTGTGGGACTAACATTGAGATTAATGCAAGAAATATCAGTTTCCCCAGGCATATGTCAAAGTAGACAAGAGACCATAACTTCCTAGGATGCTTTATGATACCAGCTGGTAGATCACAGAGCTACCTAAATGAAAATCTGATGGAAGAATGCAAACGTGGTTACAATTATTCATACTCCTACTGTGGGAGTTTCATAAACAAACTAATAAATATTTTCATCTTGCAATAAGATCAAGTTAAGTGATTTGCTGACATTCTCTTGAGGTTTAAGGCTTGTCTTTAATGTGAAATACAAATCGTATTTCTTGTGGACACATTTAAATAATAAACTTAAAAGCACACGAGACTAAAATAATGAAAACATTGCAATGAAAACCAGACAAACTATCTACCACTTCAAAAGGAGTGAATGAAGACTGCTCGTCAACACCCCAGTGCAAATAACCTCAACTGCCACATACTGAAATTGAGTTTCATGGGAAGAGAATCAGCGGGAATGGGAGAATTAAAAAAATAAAAGTTGTGACTTGACAACGAGTGACCACATGGAAATACACACACACACACACACACACACACACACAGCAGCTCACACAAGTTGGAGGACAGATTTGATGTTAGTTCAATTTAAGTTACTGGTACTTCTTTGTAAAATAGCACTAGCAAAAACCAAAAATCCCAACCCCCACCCCCACCAAAAACCAAACCAAACCAAAACAGGTTTGGTGCCTTTTTACCTTAAGAAAGGAATAAGGATTTGATGCCAAATCTCTTTGGTCCCTAAAACTCCAAGACTACTCTCAAAGTTAAGAAATTGATCATTCACTGCCTTCAGAAGCATTCCTCATTGTCTGTCAAACTGCTGCTTTGGTCTCAAGGCTATGACACAAGCACAATCAGCAGCTCACCTCTGGGTCCGGTAATGACAGGTCTGTGGTGTTGTGTGAATGCTGTTCCCAGGGAGGAGGTCTGCGAAGGGGAGGGACTGCTGAAACCAGACTTCTCCGACTTCTTCAGTGTGGTTGGCGATGGCATTCCTGGCAAGAAAGATTGATTGATAAGTATACTTTTTAATTCATGGCGCAACAGCCTGTGTGACCTAAAAGATGGTACATAAAGAACTGAAAACTGAGCTGGGCTCTGGTGGCTCATGCCTGTAATCCTAACTACTCAGGAGGCAGAGATCAGGATTGAGCCCGGGTAAATAGTTTAAGAGACCCTATCTCGAAAAAACCCATCACAAAAAAGGGCCAGTGGAGTGGTGTAGGGCCTGAGTTCAAGCCCCCGTACTGCAAAAAAAAAAAAAGAATTGAAAAATAAAAAATAAAAAAGGAACCCACCCGTGAATAGAAAATCTATTTTGAATCGCTTTGAATTTGTCATAGAACCAAATGACCTATTCCTTGATGAATAGGTCCATAATGAATGTTAATAATGAAATATCACTGTACATTATCTTGTTCAAAGAGGGTTTTTCATATGTGGTTTTTCCACATATGAATATATCTGTATATTTACTAAATCACAGTCCATTTTGGGGTTATTGATCTCTACATTATGTAGAGAACTCTAAACTATATAGTTTGCTTTATATCGGATCTTAAGTGTCCCCCCTCCCAAAAGATCCATGTGTTAAGGGCTTGATCCCAGAGCAGTTCTATTGGGAGGTGGTAGAACTTTTAAGAGGTGGGGTCTAGTAGGAGTTCTTTAGGTCACTGGGGGTGTGCTCTTGAAAGGGAATGTGAGACCTGGTCCCTTCCTCATGTTCTCTCTTACTGCCCGACCATGAGGTGAGCAGTTTTACTCTGCTTCCTGTCTTTGCCATCCAGCACCCCCACCTCTAAAACTGAATTCAAATAACCTTTTTCTCTTTATAAGTCAGCTATCTCAGGTATTGTCATAGTAACAGAAAGCTAACACGGGCTTCAACTTTTCCAGTGTTCCTAAAATTTGTTCAATGTGTCCATGACCTCTAAGACCTTCAGAAAGGAGGTTAGCTGAGCATGTGAAGACCTCACATACCCTTTTTTTGTCTTATCAAATGCCTTACTTCAGCACCAAAGCACTTTCTCCACATTTTAAATAATTTGTTTAAATAATTTTTATGTTTTAGCATAAAAATGCCCTCAACAATGACAACTAGTTGCTCATTAAGTCAACTATTTATAATAGAAAGAAAGAAAAGATAAAAGCAAACAACTTAAATGTCCAACAACTGGGGACTAGCTAAATAAATATGGTATAACCATTGCAAAGAATACTGTAAAAGAGTAATGGCATGGAGGGATGTTTATAATATAATGTTGATTGAAAAAAAGCAATTACAACATAAGATGTTGTAATCACAAGATATGTGACATAATTTAAAAAGGCATTTCTATGCACAGAGAAAGAATTAGAAGGAAATATGCAATGTTCTGTATACTGGCTTTGGGAGATTTTCATTGCCTTCTTTTTGCTTACTTGTCTTTTCTATGTCAGGCATGTATTACTTTTATGTTAAGAAAATACAATCAAGGCTTGTTTTTAAAAATATTATTTTTACTATAGTGTCTAAGTTTTTCACAGTGTTTCCAGCTTAGGAAATGCTTTGGAAAAAAAAATAATGGGAAAGCAGTCCCTTGTAATTACTGGATTTGTAATGTGCTCAGCAACCATGCTGACATACACAACTGGAGGCATCGTGCCAATTAAAACAATAAAAATTTGGACATAAAAATAGAGGAAATGACTCCTAGTCTCCATATCACATGACAAATCTGGGGTCTCTTAAGTTTCAGCATAAAATTGGTCTGCACTGATGTCAAAAGAACCAAATTTTGTGTTACTTATACATGTCAACTTGTGATATTTTCTGTCTATAACCTGAGAATTATTTCTGTGGACTAGAAAAAAAAGAATAAAATAATGATATTAGTATTAATATGTAGCTATTACTGAGTAATTGCTAATACTGTGTACTATGCTGAGCATTAGATTTATCTAGAAATTCAGTTTGTTTGGCTATATTTACATATATCTTTGTTATTTCTAATCACAGATTTCCTTAATGCAGCTCTACAACACGATCTTTGAGTATAACTACACTCAAAAGATTCTCTAAAGGTAGAGATTATATCTGTTTTACCCTTGTCTATGTTTAAGATAGTTATCAAAGGGTCCAAACACCAAGTGGCCCTAAAAGGTATTTAAACTCTCTGTACAAATCTTGCCTTTTTCTTTGGCTTTACCGGTAGATGCTTAGACACAGCAAAACTGGGGGTTTGACCCCCCAAGAAAGAAACAAATTGAAAACTGATAAGCACGTTTGCATAGCCAGATTTAAGTACAATATATAGAGTGGTGTGAGATTTCATACTAACTTGACACACCTGGATCAGATCCTTTCTAGATCAGTATCTATGTGATTTGAATTAAAAACAAAGTCACTAAGCCAAGTGGCTTTAGTTATATTTGTTTGTTGAAAAGGTCAACTAGTTGTACCACACCAGTGTTGTAACACAGGTAGGCTACATTGAGGTTGTGGATGAACATTCAGCATAACCTAAGATATGTTCAGGGAAGAACTTTCAAATAAAAAAAAATTAAAGGAAAAAAGCTATCTATCCCTAGTCACTCAAGTTTCTTTTGCACAAACCAACTTTTCAGCTGCCAACCAGTCTACCAACTTAAATTCTGTCAAATGCCTGAACTGTGTCATGAAAGAGACAAAGACATAGAATAGAAAATGAAAAACATCCAAACTTTGAAGATCACAGATTTTTTCCAAACAATGGAATCACTGATAAAGCCTCATATCTGAACTAACTTTATGGAAGAAAGCAAATGGCTGGACTCAAGAAAACCCATTCTAAGTACTGTGGAAACATAGATGAAATTTTAATCCACTGATTACCTTTCCATTCTCATGGAATTGTAAGTGAAATTTAGGTAATAACAACCATTAAGAACGATCATGTTGGTAAATCAGTTTGAAAATTGCAAAATTTAAACCTTCATCGGAAGACTTAAAGAGGGAAGAAGCACTACTGGCATGCAAGAACAACAAGCCAAATGATGTCTGACCTTCTAAATTTATCACAGCCAAGTAAAATGAACCCTAAGGCTGCCATGAATCTCCAAACTACTTTGTGTTTCAATTTTTAAAGACTTGTATTGAACACATTTCATTATTATATACTTTAATATTTTCTCTACATGCATAATGTATGTTTTGGTTAATTTGCTTTGTATACTTAATTGACCAGATGAAATTTCAAAATGGTAGTAAACTGCTGTATGTTAAAAGCAAGAGAACATTAATATTTGAAATCAAATTTGGTGTCTGAACATTGCTTTAAAAGTAAACTCCTTGTTCAAGTTTCTCTTGCCAATTATGTATGCACAACTGTTACACAATTACTGTACACATTAATGACTAATTGGGCTTTCCATTAATGAATCAAAACTTTGATTTCAGTGTATTTTCTAGAAGAACACAACTTTAAGGAAGCTGGGACTTCAGTCTGAAAGCCACAAGGAACTAAATTCTACCAATAATCACAAGAGTGTAAAGAGGATCCCAAGCTCTTGAAAGAAATGCAGCCTGGACAAAATTTTATTGTAGCCTTTAGAGACCATGAGCGAGGGACCAGTAAGCTATGTGTACACTCCTGACCTGTGGAAACTGAGACAAAAAGTGTGCATAGGTTTAAGTTGCTAAGTTTGTGTGCTGTGTTGTGCAGCAATAGAAAACTAATACGATGTTCAACTATAAGACTACTGCCAATGTCAGCAATGCCTACTCTCCATTACTCTCTAGAATTCTAGAAGTTTCCATTATTTTTACCTAATCCACCCTAACTTGTGAGATTTTTCCACAAGAATACACACTAATTCAGAGAAAATGGTTAGATATGGGTGCTGGGAACTAGTTAGTTCCCAAAAGATAAACATTTGAAAATTTCTACTTTCCCCTGATTCTTCTAAAGAAAAAGCAATGGCCAAATCATTTTGAATGATATTAAAAAATTCAAAATGAATTCTTAGGGCATCCTGTAAGGAATCAAGGTGTATTTTAGGTAACATTTTTGTTGCAACTTGATGTTACAGAAGTAAAGAGAAATAGGGAAAAATCATAATTAATTTTAACTTCTCCTCTCCCTCAAATGACTTTGACCAAGAACTCTGCAGTGCAACAGTGAAGGAGATGTTGCAGAGAGGAGAGAGGAGGCATGGTCTGTGCCTCTGCCAAGGAACTCCCCACTGGGGCTATTTTCAGGAGTCAGAGGAGCTACAGGAAGAATCGGAGAGGAGAGTAGGAGCACCATAAACTTTAATTATTCCAGTGACAATGGACCAACATGTTGCGTTTCTAAAAGGGGCTCTGTGACAAGTCAGTGTGTGGGTGTTTACTTTGTGAGAGGGGTTATTCAAAAACCCATTCTCCTGTAAAAAGTTTCTCTGGTAAATGCTACTCAGAGCAACAGGACCTTGTCTGATGTGTTCCTTGTAGGAGCTTGGGGTGTGTAATTCAAGTTGCATACAAAGATATAACTGGTACATGTTCCTTTCTTCAAAGTGCCAAAGTCCAGAACAGCAAGTTTAGTTTCAGTAATGTTCATTGATAGGCACAGACTGGTGAGAGAAACTCTGAAAACAGGCATCCTGTGCACATTAGTTTTAAATCCACATACAGTAACATGCAGTTTTGACCAAGTAAAGTCAAAAACATAATGAATAAAAATCCAAAAGAAATTTCAAAAACAAAAATGCTGAATTCCCGCTCTCACATTCTACAGCTCAGCAGATGCCGGGAAGGTCTCAGTCAGTCCCAGGGTGTCCTCAGTTGTGCTTAAATTGTGTGTTCTGCGGAATCTTTCCCTGCCCTTGATTTTGTAAAAACCTGCCTCCCCAAAAGTAAATGATGCCCCCATGAATGTACTTAATTTAAGTGATAAGGTGAAATTTTGAGATTTGTTGAAAGGCAGTATGTCCTTAGAAGTTGGGTGGCATTGTGGGAAAAAATAAAACAAGTGTCCTCAGTATTAAGATAAAG